GAAAGTATATTTGGGATGTACGTATATATGAAATAAACTCCGAAATGTCAAATTGGGACTCATTCAGTCGGAAATTGTGGGAGACACATAAAAAAAAATTCCGAATACTAGAAAGCAACACTGGACCGAACATTTGTTTAATAGTCATTGCATTATACTATGATGAAGAACATGGAATTTATGGGGTCACCAACGCACAATTTAAATGACAAAAAAATAATTATATTCTTACGGTAATGGACGTAAATGGGGTGGACAAAACTAAATACCACGCAGCACGGTATTCTAAACGTTGGAAATAAAAATTACAAATTACAGGTAATTTTAATAGAAAATGTTGCCAAACTCTTTACGATACCAAAAATTGAGCTGAGCTGGACATATATTATACTTTTGCCATGAATATTCTTCACTAATACACAAACGTTGTTTTTTTAAACAACAATAATGGGATTAAGCCTGACCATTTTGCAACAACAAAATATTTTTAGAAATTGCTATGGAATCATTATTTATAATGAAAATTGTGTCACTTGCATATCTCAGCTCTGTGATTTATTATGCTTTACAAAATATACATTAAAGACTAAAAGTACGGGCCGGCAACGCGGACCGGGCCAGCTAGTTATAATTTACATAAATCAAATAGATCTTGTTAAAAAGTTTGTCTCATATTTAAGGTAAATATGGGTTATATTTAAATATATGGCACAAGGATGTGTATAAATAAAAAAGACCTTTGTATGGGGATCTGCCCCGAAAACTCTGCTATTATCGACTGGCGTTGACATTTCGCTCTCAACAACATAACATTGTCGTTTTTGTTGTAACTCATGCTTGTAACTTGGTAGACGTAAATGAGAGCTAAAGAAATCACTTTTGATTTTGACAACTTCGACATACCGTGCTAAACTATTACCTTCCTCGCTATGCTAAAATGTTTTGTACACACGCCATCTATACAAACATTATGAAAAGTTGATAAAATCGTAAAAAATGTCGAAATAAACAACATACTCAATCAAAACTGCATACTTTTGTGATTTAATTTCCAAATTTGCGAAATCCATTCTGTCAAAGTAAAACATTTTCTAATTTCCATGTTTGACGCATAGTGATACAGAATGGATTTTTACCTGACTAAAAGTCTATATGTCTGCATTTGATTCGTTTACAATACCCTTCTCCATACTATGGATGTAAGGTCACTTTCACAAGGTTACACAGGTGGCGAATTTAAGTGTTTATCTTTATGTCTAAAAAGGGACAAAACACACAAAAAAATTTTGCAAATTCTTATAGAAATGCTGCACATATGTTTATTTGTCAAAACAAAATTAGTTGTTACATATTTTTATATCCTCCACCTTAAAAAGGATGTTAATGTCATTCCGTTTGTAACATCCATAAATATTCGTCGTTGACCTCATAAAGTATATATATTCATAATTAGCATAAAATTCTAACTCTATTTAACGATGTCCGTCAGGCAGGCAGTCTGTCCGTCTGTCTGTTGAAATCACGATACAGTCCACATTATTTGACGTAGGCCCTCAAAATTTGGCAGAACATTTTTTATTATGTCTAGGATGGTTGGTATTGAAAATGAGATATATCGGTCCACGTTTTGGTATAGCTGCCATTTAACGATGCATCTTGATATTCGGTATGTTAATGATTTTAGCGACATCATTCACCGGAATCGTTTCAAATTTGGTACTTGAAGTTCGTAACAGATACTACAGCCTGTGACAGAAAATTGTCAGTGCAAGTCCACGTATCCTATAGCCCCTATATAACGGTACCTACCGATATTCGGTATTTTGATTATTTTAGCGACATTATGCACCGGAATTGTTTCAAATTTTGTAGTTGAAGTTCGTAATGGATACTACAGCCTAAGACAAAATATTGTCAGTGCAGGTCTACGTCTTCGTATAGCCCCCATATAATTGTACTTTCCTATATCCGGTATTTTGATGATTTTAGCTACATAATTCACTGTTTTTTCAAAGTTTCGCATTTGATATTATGATGATGTTGCAGGTCCACGTCGTCGTATAGACCCTAATATAACGGATACATTCAGTATTTTTAAGATGTTAACAGAATTCTTAACGGTTTTTATTTTTTTGAAAATTGCCAAATTCGTTCCAAATGGTGGAGGGTTCGACCCGGCCGAACTTAGCTGATTTTTCACCTTTTTATTATTGCCCGGTTTTCCAATCGAAAACGAAATCTTAACGAAGAGAGTCACTTGAAGTCAAGTTAAAATAAAATCAAAACAACTCATAGCTTTATTTCGACTATAGAGTGGCAGCGTTATATGGGGGACATATGATATCGTGGACCTATATAGAACAGTAGGTGAACCCGGAGCCCTTCGCTACCTCTTTTGATTTGCATTCAACATTTTATATACGAATATTTGTTGGTTTAAAAACATAAAACAAATTCAAAAATTAAAAAAAAAAATATTGTAATACTTTAATGCGTAAATAAACAAGCATGACAGGAACAGCTGACCATGAGAAAAGCAGAGACGTGCCAAATTTAGTCCGCATACACGAAGGGTTTGTCCTTCGGATTAATTTCATAGCAAATGTCAAGCGCACAGGAAACTGCAATCTTTTGAAGTTAAGTGGGATTTCTGTTTCAATTAGAGAATTTGAGGTAGCAACATACTTATCCGCAATTATCGTATCCTCAATTGAATTGTTTTGTAGTTTTTTTGCTCTTAGGCTAATACCATTGCAAAGGCGTTGTGGATCAATGTTTCTTAATAAAGTCATATCCCAATCTGAACCGACATCAATATAATTTGACAAAATTTATTTTTAGACCAAATTCCATCACACTTTCCATATTTCATTGAAATCGGTGCGTCTAATATGTAAATCGGCCGAAAATATATATATGGGAGCTATATCCAAATCTTAATCGATTTCCAATTAATTTGTAAAATTTATTATTGTAACTAAATTTCGCCACACATTCTGAATTTCATTGGAATAGGTCATATATATGTGTTTGATGCATAACATACATTGAATCGGCGGGAGCTACACCTAAGCCTCAACCGATTTCAATATAATTCGAAAAATTTTTTGGGTACCAGATTTCGCCTCTCTGTCCGAATTTCATTGGATGCATTTAATATGTAAAATCGACCAAAAATTTATATGGGAGCTATATCCAAATCTGAACCGATTTGTATATAATTTGACAAATTTATTTTTGTTCCAAATTTAGTCACTCATGCCGAATTTCACTGGAATCGGACATACGTATCGTGTTTGGTGCATCAAATATGTGAAATCGGCCGAAAATATATATGGGAGCTATATCCAAATCGATTTTAATATAATTTGACTAAATTATTTTCTGATCAAAATCCCGTCACACTTTCCAAATTTCAATGGAATCAAACATACATATCGTGTTTGATGCATCAAATAAACGAAAACGGTCGAAAATATATATGGGAGCTATATTTAAATCTGAACCGATTTCAATAGAATTTGGCAAATTTATCTTTGTTTCAAATTCCGTTAGGCATTCTAAATTTGGAGACTGTATCTATAATCGATCAATAGATATGTTCATATAAAAAATATTTTTTTGGAGGTGCCTCCGATTCTGGCCTATATCTCCAGTTTCAAGTGGAATTTCAAAAATTTATAAAGCCTATGTTACTTCCAGGCGATGTTGTAGTATACATGGAAATTGTCAGGAAACTGTGTTCAGCGGTTTTCGAGTCCATAAATTACAAACAAACAAACATACAAACATTTTCCTCTTTTATAGATATAGATACTCTTCCAGGAGTTAAAGATTTTCGAAAAATTTCATTGAAAAATTTGGCTACAATCATCAATGTACCGAATATCGGTATATGGGGGCTATATGATATCGTGTCATTCCAAGTGTCATTGTTTGACATATGAACAATTGTTATTGTTTGCTAGTGTAAGGTACGAGGTTATTAAAAATGAGGCGCTACACGAAAAGAGTCAACTATAAAGAGATTAATGGATAAATTTGCCGAAACTGTGTATGTTAGTGATGTATAGACAACAACACCCTTTCGACCTGTTCGATCGACCGAAAATATCGCAGTTGTACGTGATGATGTCGCTCAAACTACACCCACTTCACTTCGAGCTCAGTAAATTGGTGTCTGTAAATTCAATTTTGACAAATAATTAGCATACTCATGTATCGATTCAATGGACTCAGAAACTGATTGTGAAACTGTATTGTGGAATTATAGTTTTCTTTACTAGAATTGTAGAAATGAATGTGGAAGAAATGTGGTTTCAATGAAACAATTCAATTGTGCGATTTAACATGTTCAGATTTTTGTTCGTCTGTTTTAAAAAGTTGCATTCCTATTGTGACACCCTTTAGAATTAGAAAAATGTACATATTTAGGTATATATGTACGTACGAGGAACAGTCGCTTAGAAGACTAAATATACGATGCAACATTAAACTACAAAACTCGTGAAATATATTTTAGTGTGGGTGGGTGGTTTTCTTAGGAAAAACTTTGGCATCAAGAGAAGACTACGGCCTAAATTTGCTTCATTTGACCTTACTAATTCGGCATTGGGTTTTGGCAAATGCTAACTCAAAGTGACACTTTATGTTGTACCACTGTTACTCTTTCAAATTTACTGTATGAATAAAACTACATTTTGTATCTATGGTGTAAACGTAAAAACTATAATCCTGGAATCTTGAGAATGAAAGACTTATTGAGTCTTCAAGTAAGCACTTTTAAAGTCTAAACCGTGTATATGAACTTATTAAAGTATATAAAGTCATTAAAGTATTATAAGATATCTTAAAAACATACCAAAAAAGTCGAAAACTTATTCAAAGATCTACATCAGTCAAGACTGTTTCATTCATATTTCGTATTTGCCATTTGCATTCTTTGTCACACACATACATATGTATTTCTTTTAATTAATGCTGCTTTAATTTACTTTCAGGTGAAATATTTCTAATGCGACCTCTTGAGGATATCGCAGCCATAACGCATGTGGGCGATCCCGTCTTGCTCACAGTAATCGCAGAAGAAGTGAAGGTTGGTCGTGACGAGCCCCCTGCCATGGCCTCTACTGTTCAATTGGCTTTCTTTTTGCCGGAACGAACAAACTCACCCCCATATTTCGAAAATGATCAGTAAGTATGGACCCAATGTGAACAGGTGAATGAAGGCGAATTAACAACAGAATATTGACATAATATCTCTTTTACCTCTGATTGTTTGGGAGTTCTTATGTTTTTCCTGAAAAATATTCCCACCTGAGGCTTGAACACATAAAAGATTTGTTTTGTCTTTTAATGTGAAAGAACAATGGATATATTAAAATATTAAAACGGGTATAGCCGCTGGTAACATGTAGGACCGAAACTAGAAAGATACGAAGGGTCAATTAATATGAATCTTTTTGCAAAAATTGTAGAGACTCAAGAGATTCAAGTGAAAGACAGTGGTAAATTTACCTTGTGATACATTTTTATACCCTCCACCGTAATATATTATTATGTTATATTAAGTATGTCATTCCGTTTGTAACACCTCGAAATATACATTTTAGACCCCACAAAGTATACATATATTTTTGATCAGCATAAAATTCTATATCGATTTAGCGATGTCCGTCCGTCTGTAGAAATAACTCTAGCTTCCGAACGAATTGAAGTAGTTTGATAACATTTTGCTCAGGCGTGTCTTTGGTCTGCCTCAAAATAACGGTATTTTAATTCGGTATTTTAAGAAATTTTTTAAAAAATCCGGTCAGAAATATTATATGGGGATATATGATGTTGTGGACCTACATAGACAATTCTCTTACAGGTGTTAAGGTACCCAAAAAGAACTTTTTGTGTAGAATTTCAGAAAATTCCATTGAAAAATGTGTCTAAAATCATCAAAATATCGAATATCGGCGGGTACCGTTATATGGAGGCCATACGATATCGTGGACCAATATAGCCCATCTTCTAACTTAATCCGCCTGCACACACAAGACTGATGTTTGCAAAATTTTAGCTTCCTATCTTAATTCGTTCTGAGTCGATGAGTTACAAACTGAATGACGAACTTAATATACCCTCCATACTATGTACGGTGGAGGGTAAAAAATCTCGAATACCAAATTTGAAACAATTTCGTTGAAAAGTGTGACTAAAACAAGCAAAGACCCTTAATCTGCTTTTATGAGGGCTATACCAACACATGAACCTACAAAGCCCTGTCGTACTTAAACTTAAAAATACATAAATTTGTAATTCAATTTTTACAAAAATCCATAAGATACACAACAGGATAAGATAAAATTATATATTCATTGAACTGCAGTTAATTTTTTCGTTTTTTTTTTTTATCATTTTTAGCTACGTATCGAGAGTAGATGAAAATGCACCTCAGGGTACTGCCCTAATATTTGTTGATCCGTATGTGCCGCGTGTTTACGATGATGATACCGGAAAGAATGGAGTTTTCTCCCTGACATTGCTGAATAATAATGGAACCTTTGAAATTTCACCGAATGTTGCTGAGCGCAGTGCATCGTTTCTGATCAGAGTTCGCGACAACATATTACTGGACTATGAGGAAAGGCAAACTGTCGAATTCCAGATTCTAGCCCAAGAACTGGGACCTGCAACAAATCTATCAGCCACAGTCAATGTCACTATATATTTGAACGATGTCAACGACAACCCTCCGGTTTTCTCTCAGCCAATGTATACAGTGGAGTTACCAGAAAATATAACTGTGGGCACTAAGGTGGTTCAAGTGCAAGCCGACGACGCAGACACCGGATTAGGAGGGCGAGTGCGTTATACAGCCATCCTTGGATATCTTAATACCTCTTTAAATCTGGACGCAGAAACAGGACTTATAACCGTGTCGACAAATAAACACGGGTTCGACAGAGAGGTCATGCCCGAATATCATTTGTATGTTGAGGCTCGGGATAATGATGGAACGGGCAATAGAGCTCAGGTTCCGCTCGTCATCAAGTTATTGGATGTCAACGATGAGACACCAACGTTTGAAAAGGATGTCTATGAATTTATCTTGGCGCCGGATTTAAAGAGCTTCACCACCTCCGCATTTATACATGCTGTTGATAAGGACGCCACGGCGCCCAACAATGAAGTTCGGTATGAGATAATAAACGGCAATTACGACAACAACTTTGAATTGGATGAACTGACGGGCGAACTGACTGTTCGAGAGAAAATCAATTTCAGATCTAAGAAAGAAACCACACAACGACAACGACGACAAGTGCCTACTCCGTCTCCACAGGACCAGAACATCTTTATTTTGACAGCTCGGGCATATGATTTAGGTGTTCCGGTTCGCTCCAGTACCACCACCATACGCATTTATCCGCCAGAGAGTCGCACTCGTGCTGTAACATTTGTTGTGCCCGGTCTCGATCCTGACAAATCCAAGACGGAGGAAACCCTGTCCACTATAACCGGCGGAAAGGTAATAATCCATGAAATCAGACCCCTAAAGCCGGACGAACCTGGTGCTCAAAATATTGCCTCTGGAAATCCCGACATCAAAGACCGAAGTGTGGTCACCGCCACGGTTCTTTACGACAGTTCCTCCATAGTTGACATTTCACAAATTCAGCAACGCCTTTCGCAACACAACAGTTCATTTGCCATAATGACGGGCCGAGAAATGGGAACGAGTGAAACCGACGTAAGTCCAATGCAGTTTTATTTGAAATGCTAGACCAAGCGAATTTGAAAAAATAGACTTTAACTCCATTACAGACACTGTACAAGGCAGAGAATAAGCTCCTGTTCTGGCTGTTAATTCTTCTGGCCACTTTGGTTGCGCTAACAATTCTTATACTACTCTTGTGCTGCATATGCTCCTGGTGTCCACTCTATGGAGCCACAAGGTAAGTGACAACACATAGTTTTAACTACCAAATTACTTGGCTAGTTGTCTAATAAGGCTTTTCGTGGGCGGCTATCAAGGACTTACACGACAGGAATATAGAAAAAGCTATCAAGAGTATCTGTCCATGCCCTGTAATTCCAATGCAAATGCCATAATTTAATAGTGTTACCAAAACACCTTGTTCGACATTTGTGATATAATTCTGCGCCGATTATTATTATATTTTTTATTGGTTTTAAGAGCTGTTGCAACATCACAACCCACATGACTATGCGTGGATTTGTGTCAAAAGTTTGGGACACATTAACGTTAGACCTAAAAGATGGTCTTAAGGGACTGTCTAGCTAAAACTTGATAATAGGTTATCCAAAATAATGAAGGTAAAGTACGTTGTAAAACGTTAAGAAACAGTGTTGCAAAGATTTTTGTGTGATATACACTATTTTTAACGCCAGATTTTGAAATAAATTGTATGATTTCATTCATCTTAAATGGGGCTGATATTAGGCCTGTCGGATTACCCAAACATTTGTTGCAAATTCTTCTTGTCTGTTAACACAAAATGTCTGATTTAGCGATTCAAGAAATTCTTTTTATACTAAAAATGTTCCGGATAAATTTCTCCTTGAAATCATTTGCAAATCTTCTTTCTGAGACAATCAATCAGGGGCCTAATTTTTGTAGCTACAGGGAATTAAGTTTCATGTTCGACATCTTGTTAAATTACATTTCGATAGAAATTTGAAATCGAATAGGAGAGTTTTTGATCATTTTATAGAAATGCTTACGTTGAAATATAAGCCTATATGTCCAATTTCCTAGAGCAAAAATTTTGATGACATAAAATCTATTTTAGTAAAATTTATCCACCCACGGAAAACCAAACGGACGGACATGAATAAATCAACTTAGAACAGTTCCTCTTGGTGATGTCCATAGAATCACATTTTGAGTACATTTATGTATGAAAATTTTCTATCGCATTTATTGTCTGATTGAGATGGATTTGTTTGATCCAAGGCGGAACGAAATTGATGATAGTCGATCGAGATGCAACAAATGTGCAATATGTCCAAATAATGTCCCAACCAGCCACTCTACTAACCTCAACCTACATTCCATAAGAATACTCCAACCCATTAAAGCAACATGTGTGCACAAGCTATTCGAACGAGCAAAGAAAAGGAGCATCGTTGTCTTTGAATGCGACGCCAGTAGCGGCTTGTGGGTCAACCTAACCAAGACTGAACTAATACTACACGTAAACGTAAACTATATCAATTCAACCAACAGTCTGTAGGGAGTGGCCTTAAAACTCTCATCGCAAACTAAATACCTTGGCCCAATATTGGACAAAAACATTGCGGATCGATACTTTGCACTCCACGCCTGCAATAGGAAGAATATATGTACCCTACCCCGCTAACACACAATGGTCTACGCTCGAAACCTTCAAACTTTTAGCGGGCAGCATCAAATCTAATCATAGTAACATCAAACAGATCACCCCAAGCAGCTTTGAACGCAATTCTCAACCTCGTTCCAATCGAAGTTGGCATACACAGGAAATGAGAAAGCTGGTGCATTGGAAAGAAACGACTTGAAGGCAACAGACTTAGAACATCGGACCTGCTGTTCAGGGAGAAGACAAATCGTTATAATACAACGAACCGGGGCCAAAGGTCCCTTTGTTAAGAACACAGACTCTCCCAATGATGAACGAATTGACATTTTGAATAATGACAGGGGTACTAACTGTAAAGGTCACCACATCATCTGATCATGCACATCCGGATGGGATAACTCCAACATCGAATACTGCAGATAACCTGCGAAGAAGAGACAAAATAAATACCCATATTCCGCTTTTGCACGAGGAACTACGATCTATGAGTAAACACTAACCTCATTATCCATAATTTCGCAATAGAGCTAAATTGGATCCGGTGCCAGAATTACACATGACATTCTTCCAGTGTCTTTCCTCCCTCCTCTTTCAAAACCTTTTAGACAAAGAACAGGGGGGAGCCTTTTCACAGTCAAATGTACATACCAATAAGTCAAATGTTGAATTTTGAAAATAATTGTGAAGATATGGCAACCTTAATAGTTTTATCATGGGTTTACAATACAACAAATAAAAAACGAGTTAAGTACAGGCTGGTCAGGCTTTTGATGCTCTCCACCATGAGGTAAAGAAAATCTTTAAAAATAAAACCATCAAAAATGAATTTGAGACCAATATTCAATATTTTTCCAATAAAATCAGCCAATAAAAAGTCTTCGAAATAAAGTCAATGGTTTCTTTATATGGGGGTTGTACCAAACGACAAACTACAAAGACGATTTCCTGCTACAGTGGTTTATGTATTGCGAGTTTTTAGCAAAAGTCACCAAAATGTCAAAAGACAGTATCCATTACAAACTCTGTATACCGAATTTTAAACGATTCCGGTTAAAAATGTGGCTAAAAGCATCAGAATACCGAATATCAAGAGGTATCGTTATACAGGGGATATAAAAAACTTGGAACTTTATACAATAATCTGCTAGAACCCACTAAAAATTCTAAGTACCAAAATTCGTACCGTTATGTATATGGACAATGTTCTGCCACAATAAGCAGATCCCATTACAATCTTGAAATATTGTATATCAAACCATTTTGTTAGAAATGTTCACCCAAAAGTATTGAATATCGGGAAGTTCCGTTGTATAGGCGCTTAACGAAAAAGTGGACCAACATAGCCCATTTACGAACTTGATCAGCCTACAGACAAAATACACATACCGGGGGAAATAAAAAAAAATTGCAACAAAGTCAAACGCCATAATTTTTACATTTTATTTAAATTTTTGAGAATGAAAGCAAAAAATTTTGGAAATAGCATCAAATTTTAGAATAAGTTTACATTTGTTCGAATTGGTCACCTATGGCACGAATTATGGCCTTCAAATGGCCAATGAAACCATCACACGCTGTCCGAATGTTGCTCTGCGGTATTTTGGCCCATTCTCGGCGAAGCGCTTGCTTGAGGTTATCGAAACCTTTGTATTTTTTAGTGCCAACCTTGCTTTCCAAAATACTCCAGGCACAAAGTCCAACGGATTGGTATCCGAAGATTTTGGTGGCCATTGTGCGCTGGAAATGAAACGAAAAACCTAATTTTGTGACCATTCTTGGGTGGCGCGTGCTGATTGCGATGGTGCTGAGTCCTGTTGGAATGTCCAAGGTCTGCGACCAAAATGTTTGCATGCTCAAGGCTTTAATACACCCTCCAGAATATTTTCGCGATAATATTCGATATTTATTCTGATGCCACGGTCGATTTATACGAGCGGAGAGCGACCATCGGCGCTTAAGTTCTGGTGGTCAACCGAAGGTGCACATTTCCGGCTGACCCCTTTGGCAAGTAAACGCGATCATTTTGTTTGTTTACAAACTGCTGGACAACGAATGTTTTCCCATCGGAGAAAATCCAATTCGGCAGTTCACCACTTTCGGCCAAGCGAATAAACTCTTTAGCTCTTTTGAGTCTATTTTCTTTCAGTTGCAGTGTAAGTTCTTGCACGTTTTGGAATTACAATGGCTTTACCCCGAGTTCATTTTTAATTATTTGAAATTTGAAATGTTCCGATATGTTCAGCTCACGAGCCATTTGTCGGTCACTGCGACGCGGGTTTCGATCAAGTCGCTTCTTTACTTTTCGAACCATTTCTGCTGATATTGCTGTTTTCTTCCATCGACTTCCTTGACGTCGGGATACGCTACCATTATAAAAGATTTATTCACATTTAAAGGCTGGCGTGTCATAACGATAGGCACTTGTGATAGAATTCCCGCTTGAATTCCATCAAGAAGTACTTTTTTCTGAAAAATTCTCACCAAAGTGCTTTTGTACGCTTGTAAACAATATAATGAGCTGTCACTGGAATAATTTTAACAGCTGTCGTACGAGTGGCTTAGAAATGACAGCTGACAGTCTGAAGTTGGTTGCAGTTTTTTCATATCATCCATATTTCAATTCTCTCAAAAGATTGCGTTAATTCTTTTAAGAATTTTAGGCTGATCAAGAATGAATATACTTTGTAGGGTTCAACATAAGTATTTCGAGAAGTTGGAGACGGAAGAACAATGTTAATATAGCCTCCATAGTATGATCGAGGGTATATAAAGGGGGTTTTCCGTATTAATGGTGATATCACTGTATCGTTATAGTTTCTGACGATCTAGTATAATGATTGGAGAGTAGGATCACGCACTCAAAGGATATGGGAAACAAATATAAAAACAACATTGGGTCGTCTAGAAGATTTATAATTAATGCCCAGCGAATACGAAAAATTTTAAGTAATGCAAATAGATTACAAATTCTCTCGAAAATTCGAAGGACGTTTATATTTGTGGTATTTTGCAATTGAAATGGCTGTGTCTGGACAGATAAACAGATGGCAATGTTTAAAACGAACACGAGCTCGTTCATCACATGGTGAAGGGAGATAAATATTTCGTTACACAATCCGATAAATATATTCAAAACTAAAACAGCAACAACAACATATGACACTCCCGTTAATAATATATATTCTTAAATTTATATATGTGCATTGTTTGTACTTACTACATATGTAAGCTATGGTTCATTATTCACATTTTATCCATGCTATTCTAATTCTCTCTTTTTATCTCTTGTAGCAAAAGAATAGTTAATATCAGTAGAACTGAAGACGATGTTCATCTAGTGCATAGGGAAATGGCAAATGGAAAACAAACAAAATCTGTTCAGGTAGATTTCGAAATCAATCTCTGCAGTTAAGATACACTTATGGCTATCACTTATTGTAATTTGTAAAGCGTAGTTGCAGTCGAATGTTATCACCACCGCTGTTTTATTTTTCTCCTCACATACGTTTTCGGCCAAAGTAGTTATTAGCAACTGGTCTACTGCACAATTTATTGAGTTTTTCATTTTGATTTCCTTATTGCTCGTATCTGGGTCTATGCTTCTTTCAAATGTATTAACACAAGAAAAATACAAAATTAACACTTTTTCCACTAAATCGAAACTAGATTAACAACCACTCTTCAGTTTTAAAATCTTGCACTTGTAATTCATAAGTTCACAGTTGAAATCGGATCACTATTATTACAATAAAATCAAATCCGTTTTGCGAAATTTCACAAGAAATTATGAATTGCAAGCATATTCTTTTATTTTTATATACGTGTATATATAGAGTGTGCAAAATACATACATTTTATAATTTAAAATACAATTTTCTTTTCTGGTAAAAATACTACAAGGTAACTACAAAACCAAACTGATTTGACATTTGTTAAATTCGATTTGATAGTTTTCGTGTTAAAATGAACAAGTAAATGGAGAATAGATATCATCCATTTACATTCTATACATCATTTAATTAAAATTGCTGCCGGTAGAATTAAAAGCGGCATTTCTTTTTTCATCAAATTTTTCCCAACTCTCAAAATCGCTAGTGAGGTCCTGTTATGGGATCTGCGTGGGCCGGCGAATGTCACACATTTAAAATGATAAATTACGAATGCAAAAGTTCAATACTTTTGAATATCATTATAATCAATAAGTACCGCGAATTTCAATCTTAGTGGACTTTAATTAACCAAATTTATTTGGCATTTGAAATCTATATATGGTAACGAACATTGCGAAATCATACTGTATATTCTCTGTTTAAAAAGCAAAAAGGCATGTATATTTTTACAGCTGTGTTGCGGAGAGTGGCTGGATTTTACTGGATCACAAAAAATTCACCATGAAATTGAATAAAACATTTCTTGCTAAGTTGCAGGATTACTCTTTTCAATATATCGAATACCAGAAGGTACCATTATATGGGGGACCTTCATGGGTAATTTTCTGTCATAGGAAATTATTCCCATTTGGAACTCTAAATGCCAAATTTAAAACAAAACCAGTAAAGAAAGTCTTAAAGTCGGGGGTCGACTTTATGATACCCTACCCCACTTTGCATATTTAGTAGAGGAATCTGAATCGATTTCTACTAATTTTTTCGAGGCATTTGTGCCTTTTCAATTCGGTCTTATATAACCCATTTGGTACACAAATAACTTGAAATCGGATAAAGATACATATGAGAGCTATATCCAAATCTGAACTGATCTTGATAAAATTTGGCAAAGGTATTTCTGATCTGTATTTAATATATTTCCCCGAATATCATAGTTATGGCGGTGGAGAACAAAAATGACAAAACGAATGAACAATATATATATGGGAGCTCTAGCTTTATCTGAACCGATCTTCACCAAATTTGACATACTTGTTTCAAGGCTCAATTGGGTCGTGAGTGCCATTTGGGCTAATATTACACGTTTGGTTCACAATAAAAGGAAAATCAGACGAAGCTATATATGGGGGCTAAATCCAAATCTGAATCGATCTCGATAAAACTTGGCAAAGGTATTTCTGAGGTTTATTTGATTTATTTCCTCGAATGACGTAGTAACAGAGGGCATATTATGGCTGTGGAGGACGAAAATAACAAATCGATTTTCTCCAATTTCAATAGGGTTCGTCCTTGGGTCAAACAAATGACTTGTGCAAATTTTCATCTGGATCAGGTAATATATACGACCTGTACGTTGTTAACAAAAATACATGGGCAGACAGACGGACGGACATGCATAAATCGACTAAGAATGTAATTCTATGCAGATCATCAAAAAGAACAATGGGTCTATCTCGCTTCCTTCTCCATGTTACAAACAAATGCATAAAGACATAATTCCCTTACCACTATGTGGTGTAGGGTATAAAAATCTGGCATTGCGACCTACAAATTTGAAATTTCCAATAATTCCGTTAAACAATGCCTCATAAATCATCAAACTATCAAATATTGGAAGGTACCCTTATAGTATGGGGGCTAAACTAAACCATGGCATTTTCTGTCATAGAACTGTTATGTCAATTTTCAGTCATAGAATTTAGACGCATCACGAACTCCAATTACCAAATTGGAAACAATTTTATATAAAGTTTAAATCGGTATTCCAACAGATATATACCTCATTATACAAAATACTGGACATATATTTCCCATTTTCACACCTGGTCTAATACAGGTACAAATATTGGGATGCTCTAAAATGGAAAAATATCGTACACTGATGTCATATGTAACGATTAAAAGGTGTAGGTCACCATCACACTTGACTTCCCGTGCTTAACATTAAATTTGTACTTTTGTGTAATATTTAGAACCGATATTACTTGATCTAAGTTTGGTAAAAATATTGGTTGAATTAAAATAATGTCGTGAAATGAAGAGCTGCATAAGCTTATTTAATTTATTCATTAATTTTAAATTATACTTATAACAAAATATATGTATAAAAGAGTGGAAGCCAAAAGTTCTAGGTTTGATAAGGTTATTTTATATGAGGTTACTCTCTTAATTCCATCATGAATACTCCAATGACGCAATTTATGCAATGTAACCCCATTTTCTGAAACCTGTTTTGTAAAATTTAAAGCAAAAAAAATTCAAATAATACCTAATAATTAATAGAATCACGCATCAAATAATTCTATATACGTTAGCCGGAAGTCTTTAAAGCCGTAAAAATAAAATTTGATGTCTAATACGTCAATTGGGCCGTTCGCCCAACATCCCTGGCATTTCTAAGCATCTATTCGAAATTTAATTTAAATTTTTGTAATTTACAATTTTCTCAAATACCATGGTCTCTACAAATGACATGTATTGCAAAAAAAAAAAAAAACATGTTGATATACATTGTGTCTTCATTCCTTTCTATGTATTTTGCACCCCTTAACTTTGCACAGGTTTTTGGCTTTTCAATACACAACATGAATATACAAGCAATTGGTTGGAATACAAATTTAAAATTTACATTTTACTTGAATTTTTCTTTAAGGTCGCCGAATGGATGGGAAGGCGCGAGGCCTGGTCCGCGGACAAACCGACAGATCCTAGAACGAAGCCTACCCGTTGGGAATTCCACAATGGCCGCCAGCAGTTTGACGAAAACATAGGTGCCATTCATGTCACGGACGTAGGCGATGCTCGCAACCATTCTGAGGAGACGCGACGCATACGTTCAGCTGACGAGAACCATAGAAGAGTTAAAATAAAGTGCGTTTAGGGCTACATTTGAACTACTTTCAACTAACAGTGATTATTTCTGACCCATTTTTATTTCAGGAATACCCGTGCAGCCAAAGACGATACTCATCTAAGTTTCCATAATTCTAGAACTAATCTTATTAATGATCGTGATGTCTACATTGAAGATGTTATAGATGAACGCGAACTGGTTGATGAAGATCACGAGCACATCAGGCGTAGTAAGGTAAATCGACAACACCACAAACGTTACGACAGCGAGGAGATGACCCAACGCCAACAACACATTGACGACGACTCCATGAGGCGTCATGAAATTGACAGAGGCAGCGACATTGATTACAATACCGGCAGAAGCAGCCTAAAAAATAAACGGGAATTTTTCATAAAAGATGGCAACATTGAAATACTGCAACTTATGACCAGGGATAAGACCCGCGACGGCGCGGCTGCAGCCGATGATGACAATATATATGTAAATGTTCCGCTAAAAAATGCAAGTTTGTCACAGCCGCAGTTGCTTATGGTTGACAATAGCGGCAAGGAGATTCTGATGAGACGTTTTATAGAAGAACAGCCTGATGGCAAGCAAATCATCCGCGAACATTACCAAATCGTCCCAGGTGCTACGTACATCCAATCTATGCCGAACGAAATCCAACAGAACTCAACTCTGAAAGGTGACACTTTTCCGCTGGGTAAGTCGGGGCCGAACAGCATAGTTTACTCCCAAACGGAGCCAGAGGTCAAGGTTATACACACACAACCCGCCCAAGGTTCCATTGCGACCCTGCACATGGACGGCTTTCAAAATCAAATGCAGCCAGCCATCTCCAACCAATCATTGACGCAAGAACTTGAAAATTCCCTTAAACACCAGAACGAGCTGCTGCGGCAAATTCTCTTAGAAAAGGAGAAGATTGAAACGCGTTACGTACATCACGATGTGGCGCTCGAGACACAAAGCCTACCGGGACAGTCAATGGCAATAGCAACTCAAACTGAATGTGAGATGGGGACTCAAACGGAGGTATATGACGAGCATGTTCGTAGAGGGTCCTTCGACGTTCATGGACGCACTTTAAGGAGAAGAGCACGCAGTGAAAACGATGATTCCGCGTCTGAGGACGACGATTACGAGTACATTCGACTTAGTTCCCCCAACAGTCCGGACGGTGTTGTGTACTGCATAAAAAGAAGGAAACAACGCCGGCGTAATAAATATCGTAATGGGAGCCAGCCCCGCAGGCGACTTGTAATGGTGGAGGAGGTGAAACGCAAAATTAGAACTCCAATTAAAGAGGAGGACGATGAGGAATACTATAAGGCCCGCAAGAAACCAACGCCAAAAAAACCACCGCGCAATAATGGTGACACAAAGGCCAGCATCTTGCGGCGTCTAAAGATTGAGGAAAGCGTAAATAAGAAAAGTTCTTCACGCCCGAAAAATGAACCCCTGAATCGCGATGTCCTCATAGAAATATCTGACTCCCTTGATGAGAAATATAGCTCAAGCGAACAGCAAAAAAGTCGAAAACGTCGTATGGAAGAGCTACAGTATTACGAAAATACGGATGGCGACGACGACTACGACCAACATGAGGTGGATTTTTCTAATGATTCAGATGCCGGAGAAATTGTTATTAAAACCAATGACTATTCATCCCACCGCCACAAATCGGAGAGACGAAAACCGTCCTCGCAACATGAACACCGTTTCGAAATCCACGTGGGCGAAAACACAAAAATCGAAGGCAATGGTCAGACCAATTCAGTGTCATCATCAGACCAACGAGGTCATAGTAGACCGGAAGCAAAGCCCAGACTTTCGCGCAGCGATAGTTCCCGCGGCAGTACCAATTCCCAACGGCAATTCAATAAACGCAAAGAAACTAGTTCCGAACCTCCGAAAAACCGGGTATCCATAACAAAGTATGAGTCCAATGGCGAGATTGGAACCCTTATATCAACTACTGAAGTGCGTGACAGCCGTGTGACACAAAGTGAAAACGATTTACTTGAGCATGAGGAAACGTCACATAGTAGACCACGTGCCGGAAGCGTACCCAAGTACATGGAATGGTATTATGATAAGAAGAAGCCTCCTGCTGGCGGTCGTACATCTACAGAATCATCAGTCAAAGGAGCACCAGCAACGCGTAAAAAACCCGTTGTTCCAAACGCTGGCGAGAAGAAGGTGTCGCGAACTCGTTTGCACATTAAGCAGGCCGACACCAGTCAACACGAAGAACCCAAGTTCAAACCCGAACCAGCTCCACGAAAGTCACCACCGAAGGCTGCTCGCATGCTTAAGGAGGACATTGTTAAGAATAAGCAGTTGCAACCACGTGTCGAAGCAGAGTCCAGCCATCCATTACTTCAACACTCTGAGCATCGTTTTGAACGAGAAAATGCACCCGAAGTGTCAGTGCCACCATCGAAATTACCTCACTACATATACCCCGAAACCCCGCCAACGTTTTCCTCGACTAAGAGACCAATACGAAAAACACAAAGCCCAAACCGTCGCCCATTAAAGAGAATGAAGTTAAAGTTAATAATGCTTCCAAAATCAATCTGTACATTGAAGACCCCAACTCTACACATGCGCCAACAGTAACGACAAATTCTTCCTCCACATCAATACACAAACAACTCAATGCCGCAACTCTCGAAGATGATTTGGACTCAGGTATTGCAATGAACTCCCTCCTCAACAGTATGGGCCGTCGTAATCCCATTGCCGAAAAGAAAAGTGTATTCTCCATAGCCTATGATGACGTCAGTCGCGTTCAAAAAATCCCTTCAGGTGGCGACTCCCCTCCCTACTGACCGGATAAGGATAATCCAACCCAACAAATCACTGATTAAGTTGCACCACAATGTGATATTCCAATTATAAATTGTTGGCATTTGTAATTTGTATTTTAAACGCCACCCCACCCCGATCCCATTTGTAAGATGTATTCCTCTCATCTATATTTCAAGCTTATTACATTAGTTCAAACATGCGTTCATTTATTTATATTTATAGGTCTGTAGGATTATGTATACATACATACATGTGTGCTCATTCAAATAGTATGTAAGATATTTAAGGCAACCGAATATTAATTCATCCCAGTGCATCCCATTTGTGTATATACCGATCTATGTAGCCACATACGGCCAGTACGAAATGCTACTCCACATATATAATGACTATTAGGTCCATTGCTATAAGATTTCTCTAAAGTTTAATTGAAGTCAGGGACAGAGCTATGTACCCTTCACCATATACGATTATTCGAACTTGCTGTTGACATACATATATTTGCCCCTTTGTAAAGAATATGGCAATGTCAAGCCAAAAAAAAGGTGTACTTGTCAAGCGACCAGGCGAAATCGTCTTTATCCTGTTCCAGAAGTCACATCACAATTGAATTAAACATCAACATTTTCAAACCTTTTCTGGCATTCACTTCTGCAGCTCAAGTGTATCGACTACACTCACGGGGTTTCACGTTAACACCTTTTGGTGTGTGTGTGTGTGTGTGTGTGTGTGTGTGTGTGTGTGTGTCAGACAAACTGAAAATTTCATAGTGAGAACCGAGTATATTCCGGATAACGAACATTTTTCGTCAAAACATGAATATGAGCGACATATGATATGTTTTTAAGATGCACGCACATTTTCAAGCCAACGTAATTTTAAGTTCTTCTGCAAAATTGTATTTTATCTTGAAATGTCAAAACTTAACTTTCAATTTGTATAATGATAGAAATGCCTGTGTGCCGAACAGTGATGTGCTTTTCAATTACAATGAATCTCCTTTTTACGTAGTTCTAAATTAGTTTTGATCCATTTTTTGGAAAATATTAAATCAATCCTAAAACTTGGATTGAATTAAATTCGCTGTAAAATATTAGTTCGTATCTGGACACCCGCTGTGGCCAATAAATATATTAGGAAAGAAACATTCCCTTCATCTAAACAAACACATTTATTTAAGGAACTGTTAGAAGAATGAAAATTGATTTAATGGTCCAAAAGCTTCGTACTTTAAACTATCAGAAACTTGCAATAATGGTCCATAGTGTAAGAATAATTAATTAAAAAAATATATATGTATGTATGTAGTTGTAGAATAAAAGTATGTATCACCTATTATCGTTAAACGCAGGTTAAAAGTGATTGAATGAAACAATATTAAGTTATCAATCCATCATATAATCGCAATATGTACATCTGTATAAACATAAATAAAATTACAATAATATTCAAAATAAGACTCTTGTGTTTTTTCAACTCTTGTGAAGCACCTTTACATTTATTCACATTTCTTGATTAAAATTCTGATATTTCTTCAAAATCACTGATGCACCAAAGCGAAATTAATAACTTTGTCCGCAGAATATTTGATGTGGTATAGTGTTCTATAATGGAACTTTTAAACTATTTAAGATTAAAGATTAAACGTGCCATAACCCATTTTGTTCAAGTCATCTTTGAAATTTCATACTCTACGTGTTATAAGTTTGATTGGGAGACAATTATCATGTCGCAATATTCCATTCCGCAAATATTGAAAAATGAGCTCGGGGTAAAGCCATTGAAATTCCAAAAAGTGCAAGAATTTACACCGCAACTGAAAGAAAATAGACTCAAAAGGGCTAAAGAGTTGCTTCGCTTGGCCGAAAGTAGTGAACTGCAGAATTTGCTTTTCTCCAATGAGAAAACATTTGTTATCCAGCAGTTTGTAAACAAACAAAGTGATCGTGATTATTTGCCAAAGAGGTCAGTTGAAAATTTGCACCTTCGGCTGACCACCAGAACTCAAGCGCCGGCCATGGTGATGGTGTGGTCCGCCATAACAGCCTATGGTCGCTCTCGCCTCGTATTAATCTACCGTGGCAAGATTGGCACTAAACAATACCAAAGTTTCGATCACCTCAAGCAAGCGCTTCGCCGGAAATGGGCCAAAATATCGCAGAGCAACATTCGGGCAGAGTGTGACGGTTTCATTGTCCGTTTGAAGGCCATAGCTCATGTCAAAGGTGACCAATTCGAACAAATCTAAACTTATTTTAAAATTTTATGTTATTATCGACATTTTTTGCTTTCATTCAATAAAATTAAAAAAAGTAAAAATTATGGCGTTTGACTTTGTTGCAGTTTTTATATCTCACCCTGTATATTACATTAACACTATAACAGACCAATCGACTTCTGCACTAGTTTGAAAGTTTGTAACAACTCGAAATACTGATCTTAGACCCATCAAGTTCGTCCGTTACTGTCCATACCGTACCGGGATACCGTAGCATTTTGTTGTTGCTAAATAGCCATTACTGTTCTTTTTATTTCATGTAAAACGAAAGCATAACAAGTGGAGAGAGATGAAAATGTTTATAAGTGCGGTTGTAAGATTTAGGAGATTTTCTAAACGAATTTTAGTTTAATTTAATTCTTTGCTTCCTCTTCTATTGAGCTTACGATCTCGGCTCTAGGGTAATTTTTTTTTTTTTTTTTTTTTTTTTTTTTGTCATAGGAGTTATTTTTAATATAACTCCTGGGGAGAATATCCCAAAAGCCAAGGGAACTGATGAGGATTGGTGGCTCTTTCCGAAACCTAAGTTTTTCCTGAATTACCCTCTGGTAAACATTTCCATCTTTATCCACCAATAAATAAACGTTGTTTTTATAAAAACAACAATATTGGGATCAAGCCTGACTATTTTGTAACAACAAAATTTCAATTTATTGCGAATATTTTTAATACTGAAAGTCATATCCAGGCGAAATCACAATTGCATAAAAAGGATAGTTCTGTCATTTAAGTTGATGCTGACTTCTGCACTGTTGCAGAACCAGCAAAAATATACTAATTTTGCATCATAAAGGAAAAAAACGGTTATCGTAGTAACACTTTTAGATTTTAGCTGGCGAGGAACCTCATTTGAAACCATTCTTGTGTGGCGCATGTAAGGTCTGCGGCCAAAATGTTGGCGTGACCAAGGCTTTAATACACCCTCCAGAATATTTTCGCGATAATATTCGGCATTTATTCTGATGCCACGGCCGATTAATGCGAGCGGAGAACGACCATCCGCTGTTATGGCGTTCCACACCATCACCATGGCCGGGGCTTGAGTTCTGGTGGCCAACCACATTTACATCATTTGTCATTTTGTTTGTTTACAAACTGCTGAACAACGAATGTTTTTTCATCGGAGAAAACCAAATTCGACAGTTCAACGCTTTCGGCCAAGCGAAGCAACTTTTTAGATCTTTTGAGTCTATTTTCTTTCCGTTGCGGTGTAAGTTCTCTTTCAATGGCTTTGTCCCGAGCTCATTTTTCAATATTTGCCGAATGGAATATTGCGATATGTTCAACTCACGAGCCATTTTTCGGTCACTGCGAGGCGGTTTTCGATCAAGTCGATTCTTTACCTTTCGAACCATTTCTGTTGATGTTGCTGTTTTCTTCGGTCCACTTCCTTGACGTCGGGCTACGCTACCAGTATCACGGTAACGAGTGATGGTACGAGACACAAAATATTTATTCACACTAATGTGCTCGTTGTCACGAGTGAATTCCATCACGAGTAGCTTTTTTTCTGGAAAATCCTCACCAAAATGATTTTGTACGCAAGTAAACAATATAATGAGCTGCCACTGGAATAATTTTAACAGCTTTGGCTTAGAAATGACAGTAGTCTGAAGTTGGTTGCAGTTTTTTCATCTCATCCTGTATTTAATTATTGCTCAGTTCCAGAACTGCAAGAATGTAAAACTTTTTACTACGATAACCGATGTTTCCATTATAATATTGAAAAAATTGCTAAACTAGTAGATTCTTACAGGTTTATTATATGATTTTAACTGTATGTTATATGGAACTAATAAAAAAATATTACGTCCCAAAATCCTTATTTTTGCAGCCCAACTTGTTAAAACGACCCAGACCGGTTCGATTTCGGGTGGTCTGGCTCACGGTTAGGTTTATTTACAGAAACAGCGATTCGGTTCAAAGCCGTTCTTACAGCCCTGCCGTTTTTGTTTGTAATGTACAAATCTACATACATAGCTCTAGCTTCACCCGATCGCTTAATACTTATGGTACAACATTTAGTTCATTTCGTACACTTTCAGTGGGATATTCGAATATCTTTCTATAATTTTTTTTTAAATAACCAAGACCACGTGTAAGAAACAATCTAATCTAATCTAGTTCTGTCCGATCTCCCAATACTACTGTTACAATATTTAATGCTTTTGGTACACTTTTATATGCAAGTTTGTTCATTACAAACAAGCTTTCACCGTTTTAACTTTTACACTTTATTTAGAACATTTTAGTTATTTTCATACCCTTTCGAATTACTTTATTGTCTCGAACAAATTGCCTAAGAACAAAGATATTGGGTAGATATTGTAGAAGTTGTGTATGGTAATACTGCAATAAATACTGACATCTACACTTCAATTTTTAAATTAATTACTTTTCTCATTGGAAATTTTTGCTATGTTATGGGTATGTTTTTATCTTATTATAGCAACATCTTATCCAGATGGGACAACCATCAGCCTTTTCGGTATTATTGCGAGTTAAAAATTATCGCAAAAGAGGTTGGATGACTTAAAATGTTGTTACAGAATGATGGAATAAATGAAAACACCTCCTATGATAGAATGAAAACCGTAAAATGCAGCGTTTTAATATCTGTTTTCTCCTGTCAGAAAATGTCGTAAGTCCATTTTAAATATCTCGAACATATGTATCTACATCTATACTTTAAATTTCAGGCCAACAGACAACATTTGCTAGAAATAATATTGGTTTATAGTGTGTTTAATTCGCAATAATACGGAAAGAGCATAGGCTAGCTCCATTTCTTAAAATACAAAACGTAATTTATATTTTCATGGGTTGATTTACAGTTTTAAGATTTTGCTATAATACGACAAAACCACAACTCAAGACACACACCATTACGATAAAGTCTATTGAGACATATGACCAATGTATAGTGAAGTATAGATGGCAGTATTTTCTGTACTATTAATATGCAATCATTCGAAAATATCTGCCTAATATCTTTGTTCTTAATCTTACGCAATTGTTCGTTGTTTAGCAACCAGCAATTAAACCATAGGTTATGCATCGATAATAAGAATCTAGCAAAACAAATTGTCAGAATTTTGACAAAATCAAGAAATTAAATAAAAGGTAGAAAAAAATGGCAAAGTACTTCGAAACGTTACAATTCAGAACTTGAAACAATTATGTATTTTTATATCTTCAGCCATATGGCTACTAAAGGCCTGCACAAGACGAATTGTAAGAATTATGCTTTTTTCGACACACTGACTTTGTCAACTCAATCATGTGCTATGTATTTGATAGGCAATGACAACCAACAACATCCCCCATTTTGATTCATGTGTGCCATTATCTAAAGTTCGATCGTGGCATGGCAGACTCGAATATTTGCATGGTGTTCTCCATAAATGCAGGGTGTCGACGATGACATCGAACCGTGTCATCGTCAAATTGTGTGTCATTTGTGTACGTGTGCTTAAATTGAGAGTGTGTGTGTGTGTGTTACTTTCGACGGTGAGGATGTGTTTTTGTGTGTGCTGTAATTTTGAAGTAACAAACACGGCGTACATATAAAAGTGAGTACGAAATCAATAATTAAAAAATATTCTTTATGACGTAGTTGAGGGCAGAGATATTAAGAAAATTTATCAGTTTTTATACCCTACACCACATAGTGGTAAGGGTATTATGTCTTTGTGCATTTGTTTGTAACATGGAGAAGGAAACGAGATAGACCCATAGTTACTTTTGAGAACCTTCATAGAATCACTTTCTGAGTCGATTTATGTATGTCAGTCCGTCTGTCCGTCCGTCCGTCCGTCCGTCTGTCCATGTATTCTTGTGAACAAAATGCAGGTCGCATTTATTATCCGATTGAGATAAAATTTTCCAAACACTATTTTTTTGGCCCAAGGACGAACCCTATTGAAATTGGTGAGAATCGGATCAAATTTAGATATAGCTCCCATATATATCTTCATCCGATTTCGGGTTAAATGTGCACCAAATGTCCACTATCAGTCCAAATTACCTGAATTTTGGCACACCCAACCGAGTTCGGCCTAGAAGCAAGTATATCAAATTTGGAGAAAATCGGTTCAGATATAGCTATAGCTCCCATATATATATTTTATCCGATTTGGTGTTTAAGCCTCTCACATTCGTAATATGCACTCCACAAGA